CACACACACACATATGTATAGAAATACAGGGAAATGTGTGAGTAAGTGTTTATGGTTAGGATATGATTGTTATCCTCAGTGGGAAGGGAGGAGTTTTTTTGTCCTCTTTCAATGTCTGTCATAGTTTTCTGAAGAGAACACAAATGATACTTTTGCTCTCATTCTGCACTTCTGCACTCAATTCATCTTCGTACAGTCATACTTTAAATGTAAACATCCTTTTATCATTATATCTAGGGTTTTGTGAACAAAAATTTAGCAAATAGCTAGCTGTATCCACTGTATCCACTGTATCCACGTTTACTATAAATGCTACAAGTGTGGATCTGTTCTTGAACTAGATCTTTTTAGATGAGGCATAGCGTACATGGAACTTGCTTCATCCTTTTAATAACTGGTTGTATCCATGTTTGCTGTAAATGATACAAAGTGGATCTAATCTTCGAACTAGATCTTTTTAGGTGAGGCATAGCGTACATGGAACTTGCTCCATCTTGCTCCATCCTTTTACTCATAAGTTCATCTCACAGAATTAGCTAGTTAGGACTGTGACAGCAGAGAAATCTTCAGGATGTAAGCTTATTTATAGTATCCTTATCCTTCTCTAAGATGGATGATCTGACATGGCTTAACGAGCTCTATTTGCACGTGCTTGGGATCAGAATGGTCGTCTTCTAAGATAGTTACCGGGGGGGGGGGGGAAGGGGAGGGTAGCGAGCCTACCTCTACCTCCTGTCTTTAGACATACTTTACTGGCCTTTCAGTTGAGGCCTGTCTAGCATGCGAAACCTTACCGCAGGCATATGCTACCGCCAGTCGCAATCTTACACGGTAACGCAGGCTTCTTCACCGTGTCAAGGGGAGTGTTCATATAGTGTCTACTGAATAAGTAAATGTCAGACAGTTCCATCTGTCATGCTTGGTGCTTCCGGTAAATGTGTCCAGTTTGAAGCATGCAACTTGCACATCCAATATAGATATATGCATGCGCATTTCCGCATACATGGATGTTTATGTTGTGTCGGTGGATTGTGGGGGGGTGGAGGGTGGGGGGTGTATACGTGTGTTACACGTGAGAACGTGTGGATGCATGGATGGGTAATTGTCGAAATTGAATGCAAATTCAGTAGCAGTTGTATGGCTTATATGATAGGTACCATTGAGTGTCAATAGTTAAGTAAGCGTACATATGAATAGTTTATGATTCATTCATTGTTCACTGTTAATTATAGTAGGATTATGAAATGAAATTAAGTGTTGTTCAGTTAGAAATAAGCGTTTATTGAATTTGTCCACTTCTCTTTCAGAATGAGACTACACGTACGAAAATGACACGTACGTAA